TCCCCACTGACCTTTACCATTTCCCACGATCCTCTAACTCAGTGATTCTCAACCTTCTCAATGCTGCAACCCTTTAATATACTTCTTCATGTTGTGGTGACCTCTTAACCAAAAAAAAAAAAAAAAATTACTTTCATTGCTACTTAATAACTGTAAATTTGCTACTGTTACAAACTGTAATTGAAATATCTGTGTTTTCTGATGGTCTTAGGTGACCGCTGGGAAAGGGTTATTCCACCCTAAAGAGTCACGACCCAAATTGACTATTTTAAACTTGAATGTATCACATTGTTCTCTCTGTGTCCCCCACCCTCCATTAAATTTGCCCTTGCCTTTGTTCTCACCCTGGTGCTTGGGATCTTTCAAATCCAATTTCAAGCTACTCCTCCTCTCTGAGCTCTCTAACCCTCTCACCCATAAACAGTCTCCCTCAGGTGCCTCTACGCTTTCTTTATTGTGGTTCCTCTGGCAAGAGCATCCACTCTGCCATTTAGTCCTGGCAAGTTTCCTTTTGGGCTTTAAGGGGCAATTCTTGTGTTAGCTTCTCTGCAGAACTTTTAAAAAATCCAAGAGTGTATTTAAGTGCAGCCATCAAACCACTTCCTATAAGTTATTATTCTATAGAACTTACCTATGTCATTTTCTCAGTAATAAAATCCGACTCATACCCCCAGTTCCTGACTTGGGCCTAGCTCTTCCCTTTTTGGTCTTTCAACCACTCAGAATTGGGTATTTATTAGATGTGTATATACGTGTATGTGTATGATAGTTTATTACAAAAACTTATTGGAATCCTATCATGTTCAGATATTATACCATGTGTTAGATAGACATCAAGTTCAAAGACCCAAGTTCAACTACTAAGACAAATCAAATAAAATGATACTTTGGGGACATATATAAACAATAATAGAGATAAGCCCAGGGGTTGACCAGGCATTTGGGTGCGACTTCATCTGGACAGATGTCTGGAACGCCTGACTGGAAATGACTTTGATGCCTGTCATGGGTTTTGTGACAGCTGAGTATTCATACATACTCTGCAGGAGCTCAACAAATACTTGGGAATTTAGTAAATCAAAACCGGCTTGGGTTAGGATTCTCTATATGGACCACAATGTTGCGCTTACTCCTTCTCATTCTTGATCACCACTTCCTGCAGGCAGTTAGCAATTTTGGTCTGCAGATCTGATCTTAGCCCAGCCAGGAAATAACGGAAATCTTAAGATAAACCCCATAAGTGTGATTTTTCTTGTAGCCTGGTCCTGGTTCTCACCATCCGAGGAAACTGGAGAGGAGTTGTTGACCTGGACACTTGGCCTGGGTAGCTGAGCCCACCAGGTCAGGTTCAAAGGTCGCTAAGTCCAGAGTAACCTGCTACTGTCTTCTCAGCCTCATCTTGCTCTCCATGCTATACTTTTCACCAAAACAAAGGTAGAATCCCCACACAGACTTTTAAGTGAAGCACATACTCATTGGTGTGGGAGACAGGGCCTTCCTATGTCTCCAACATTTCTCCAGCTTCCCCTTTACCCCTTTACCCCTTTGTTTGCTATGTAACCTCCATTTTGTTTCTCTGAGATAGTAAATGCTTGTTGCACTTCTGTTGGGGTGATCTTTTTGTGCGCTGTGTAAAGGCTGCCTCAGTATATTCAGTTTTGATTGCTAAACCAGCAGAGCTGGGTACTGTCTGAACTTTAGTATCGCTATCCTTTTTTTTTTTTTCATTTCTTTATTTATTTAATCACTTTACAGCCGGATCCCAGCCTCCTCCCTCGTTTTCTCCCAATTCCACCTTCATGCCCCCTCCCATTGTTCCCCTCTCTCCTTCCCAGAGAAGGAGAGACCCCAAGGGGTACCAACTTACCCTGGCACCTCAAATCATGGCAGGACTAAGCACATTCCCTCCCACTGAGGCCAGATAAGGCAGCGGTGCAGCTAGGGGAAAGAGATCTAAAGACAGGCAACAGAGTCAGAGACAGCCTTTACTCCCACTGTTAGAGGACCCTTATGATAAGCAAGCTGCACATCGGCTATATATGTGTAGGGGGTCTAGGTGGCTCAGTCTCTGTGAGCCCCATGGCCCAGGTTAGTTTACTCCATGGGTCTTCTTGTGGTATCCTTGACCCCTCCAGCTCCCTCTATCCTTCCTTCCACTCTTTCACAGCAGTCCCCTAGCTTGGCCTATTGTTTGGCCATGGGTCTCGGTTTCCATCAGCTGCTGGATGAAGCCTCTCAGAAGACAGTTATGCTAGTCTACTGTCTGCAAGCATAGTTTAAGGATAAAGATGGAGCAGAGGTTGAGGGACTAGCAAACCAATGGCTGGCCCAATTTGGGATCCACCCCATGGGGAAGAGCCAGCCTCTGACACCAGTGGTGCTCTGGTATTGTTATTCTTCTGGCTCATCACCTGCCTCATATTTTGTAAACACTCTTCCCTCACCTTTTGATTGGCTTAATAAAGAGCTGACAACCAACAGCTAGGCAGGAGAGGGAAGGTGGGAATTCTGGGCTGAGAGAGGGCCTCTGTGAGAATTCACAAGTATGACATTGAGAGAGAACAGGTGCCAAGACTGGGTGGGAGAAAGGAAACAGGCCATGAGGGAGGACGTAGACCAGGAATTGTCAGGTTAGAATAACTGAGAATCTGCCCAGCTATAGTTCCTAAGCTTTTATAAATAATAATAGGTCTCTGTGTCTTTGTTCATCCAGGGCTGAGTCCAAGAAAGTCCCGCTATGCCCTTCTTTAGTACATCAAGGTCTTTTTCCCCAGCAATCTTTTATACATCCTGCTTGCGTCCCTCGCCTGGAATATGTGCTGGAATCGGACAACTCTGACTCATCCTTCTGGTCTTGGATTATTTTCAAGATAAAAGCTGGCCTGACCTTCCATACGTGCGAAGACCTAAACAGATTTGTCCCTGTGCACCCAAGGCTCTGCATGCCCTAGAAGCTTACCCATTAACCTGCATCCATGTGTGTGATCCCCACTGCAAGATTCCTGCAGTTGTAGAACCAAAGACAAGATGTCTGGTTTCGCCTCTGCATTGCTGTGTTCTGCAAAGCCCTGGGAATGCACAGGCTAGATGGGTAGGTGAAAGAAGCCTTCAATTCCTGAGTAAAGGAAAAGGGAAGAATTCATCAGAATGAAAAGGGACTCTTTCTACTCCATGTTGGATTTTCAGCTCTGGTACAGGTAAGCCCCTCAGTAAGTGGTTATTTAATAAATTAATTATAAAGTGAGTAGGGGGTTACATAAGAATACTGTGTCTACTTGAGTCACCTGGTCATTATGCCTGCTCATATAGTAAATTCCTAGGGGAACTGACTTCTGAAGAGGGTACAGTACATCAGTTCAAACATGGAGCCCCATTTCCAACTGTTTAACCTGAATTCTTCCTGTCAATGATCAATGGCCTCTAAGAAAGCTATTGAATCTGTTCTCATGTCTGCTCTCTTGTCTTTAGTTGAGATTTGTCATGTGATCAGGTGAGGCAGCATTAGCTAAGCAAGAAAATATTCTTCATTACTTAATCAAAGCAAGAAAACTGAAAAATCAAATACTATGTGGTCATCTTATCGCCGCAATGAGTCCTTAGGGTCAGGGAGTCATTTGGAAAGCACAGTATATAATTAAATAATAAAATCAGGGGTCGAGAGATGGCCCGGTGGTGTAGATACTCACTGATCTTGCACAGGGTCCAGGCTCATTTACCAGCACGCACACCAGGTGTCTCACTGCTACAAATAACTGCTCTTCCGGGAGCTCTGATGCCCTCTGACCTCCCTGGGCATCTGCATACATGGGGTGTACATAAACTCACAAAGGCAAATATACATCAATCTATAATAAATTAATAAATTAGTTTTTTTAAATCAAGCAGTCACTGTGCTCACCCTCTGTGTCTTTGTTAGTTTTCCACCTGTAATGGAAGGTCTTGCTATGTCTGAGACTCTTTTCATCTTTAACATATCTTTGAAAATGACTGTGGACAAATGGCAATGCGGTGACATTTTGGTGGTTTCTGCTCTGGTTCTCTGTTTAGACAGGAGTGAAATGACTCAACAAAATGCCCTCAGTGAATGTCCATACATTCTTTTTTTTTTAATTTTATTTTTTTCTTATCAGTTACATTTTATTAACTCTGTATCCCAGCTGTGTCCCGATCCCTCATTCCCTCCCAGTCCCTCCCTCCCTCATCTCCACCGTGCCCCTTGCCAAGTCCACTGTTGCTCAGTGTCTCCTCAGGAATTCTTCAACTCAACTATAAGGATAAGGCCAGTTCTATCTCTTCAGACAGCTTAACAAACAGGTGTGTGTCATCAGCTTCTTGGACACTAGAACCATAAAATGAGATTAAAAAAAAAAAAACAGCCCCATTTAACAAGAACACAAGAAAGCATAAGTTTGGAGGACTGAGTAACCAGACAAATATTCAAATAAAAATGTACTGTAAATTGTGTTTTCACTGAGAGAGTTTCCTTGTGACAATGTTTGGGAGTGTTGAAAGCCCACAGGTAGTAATTCGGAGCTTAGACAAGGGTAGCTAGAGTGATGATAATAATAGAATTCATCCTCAGGTAGTGAGATGATTTTGCCTAATTCACAATGCATTGACTTTTACTTGAACAACCTACCAAGAGGTAAGAAACTTGGCTTGCAGTTGAGCCTGAGCGGGGCCACTTTTCTAGCTATTATTGCTCAGAATAGGAATGTAAGGACAGATGGATGATCTCTCACTGCTTTTATAAATAATACTCTACCATGAAACTGAAATAGATCATGAGTTGTCACTGGTAGAGTTACAATTTGTAACTCATTTTTGAAGAACAGACTGAAACTTAAGAGTGATGAAGGCAGCTTTCATCTCTCATAAACACCAGTCTAAAGGTCTCCCATCTTGGAGACCAAAGGTACAAGAAACAGAGACGGGAGGGTACGGAGAGAGAGAGATCCATGAGACAGAAATAAGACAAATGCTATGTTACCTCTCAAATATAAATCAAATATAAATATTTATTACTTACAACACTTAAAATGAGTATGAATGCCATTGAAAATAAAGATAACTTTATTCATGCAACACTTTCATTAAAGGTAAGTCTAGCATAATTAGTCCATGAGCTTGTGAACGAAGATGAGCTGCTTGGCTGGTGAGGCAGCACTGTCCTGGAGGCTATCACCCAGACAGGAACGTAGCTGTGCTGGTGGACCGCTGGACTCTCGTGGGAACAGTTTTAGCCATGCTCTTTTTGACACCGGACCTGCCCTCAATGCTTATCACTGCTTCTCGTACCCATTTGGCTTTTGGATCAGCACAGAATTTCAGTCCTTTTTTGGTGATAAAACTATAAGGTAAGAAAAAGATAATGTTAGGAATATTGTCCAAGGAAGCAGAATGAATACATAAGTTAGTAGAACTACCATCCATGAGCACCTTCCTTTTGCTGTCTGCTTTAGCAAAGGAGGGAAATCTCCAGGTGATAGCCAACTCTTGGTGACTGTAATTCACCAGGACACCAAATATTGGAGCTAATTTCTTAGGACTATCTAGTTCAACTGTCCCATATCCCCTTCCTCTTCCCACCTAAAACTACTCATCTCTTTGATGGAATTAGAGATTATTACATGAATTTCTAAGAGGGATACTCGGCAAGTATGCATCAGGAGAGAGAAAGAGGGATTCTGGAAGACAGCGGTACCATGTAAGCAAGTTCTGGATGTACCCTGTTGAAGTGTTCAGCATATGAGATGTGCCACTCTACATAGTAAGTATCTTGTATTAGTGTGGCTATTTAGGCAAGTCCTAGCCTGGGTTGGGCATCAGAACCGGACACGGTGCCCATCTATTTTCTAGGCAGACTCATCAACTGAGCAAAAGAAGAAAAGGGGGTTGTATTCTTTTTGTTCAATAATTGTCATGAGGTGGAATAGTCGGAAGACAAGATTAATGCAGATGGAATGGGCCATTGGCTACGCTGAGCTCTCCTCCATGTCGGTCCATTTCTCTTGAGGAGAGCAGCTACTCTATTTCTAGACAGAAAATGCAGCTCCGGCACTCACATTATCGCCCTCATCATGCCTTCCTTGATGGTATAGGTCTTGATTTTTTGAAGTGGCAGAGGCCGGGTTTTGAATGTCACACAGGTAGTTTTTTCTAGGACTTCAGTCCCCACACCTACAAAAGAAAAAGAACACATAAATAAAATTGTAACTGAATGAGTAATAAGTTCAGAGTCACTTATTCAAGTACTCTGAAAGGTGAAAGGAGCATAAAACTCCTCGCTTCTTTGGGGAAGGAAGAATTCACATTGGCACCCGAGCCTCTTGTGTGTTATAGACCGTTGTGTTTGGCTAATTTTAGGTCAGTCGTATTGTTTCAGGAGTTTCATAGTAAAACCAACAAGATGGTCCAGCATGGTGGTGCATCACTTTAATCCTGGCATCAAGGGTCAGAGGCGAGTGACTCTCTGTGAGTCTGGGCCAGCCTGGTCTATATAGTGAGCTTGGGGCCTGCCAAGACTGCATAAATGAGATATTGTCTCGTTTATAAAAAGTAACAATATAAATAGTAACAAGGTGGTATCCATCTTTGTGTATTTTCATTAAGATTGCTATGACAGCAGAATTCCCAGGGACACTCTCAAGAGCTACTTACTTAGGTGTTTTTGTATCCCAAAGGCACTAATTCAAATGGGCATTGGCCCTGTTCTATGGAGTACACATTACAGTGAGATAGACACGAAAGTAGAGAAGCAGAGGAGATTGTTTCAAATACTAGTTGTGCTGTAAATTAGATAAAAGACTGATGAGATAAAGAGTGATTTGATCAAGCAAACATTCAAGGGGAGAACGAAGTTCTTTTTTTTTTTTTTTTTTGTCTGAACAAATAGACCTGGTCCTCAGGTTTTGTCCTCAAAGGGATGGACCAAGGCAAGGCAGCTGGATAATTTGGTTTATAACACTACCTTCCATTGCACAAGGAAGCATATCCTAGCAAAGTCGATGAGATTAAGGAGTTGGTAAAAATCTAAGTAAGCAAAGTGTCTAAGTGCTAATTCCCTCCCCAGCTGGAGCTGCTGCTAGGTGCTTCGCAGCTGCAGAAGGTCTCATCAGCACTGATAACGATCAAGCTTGAACCGTAGTGTCGGTGCCGCAGGAAGCCACTTGTCCACAGTGTGAAACTACGAGCTGTCCACTCACACCGCCCTCTTCATGGCTGCTCTCCTTCCTTCTCAATGCCACCCTGTGCATTCCTTACCCTGCCACTGTCGTCTTAGGCTGCACTCCTCCGCACTCAATAGGGAGAGAAAATCTGCTCTCCTTTAGCTTTCCTTTGCTACGTAAGAACAGTATTTCTGTTGAGTGTACACGGTTGCCCAAGGCCAGCAAAACACTACATCTGAAAACTTGCTGTTTCTCAGCAATGCCATATACTCTATTAAAGCGTTTGTTTGCAGAATTCAGTCAGAGCAAAGATTTTTTTTTTTTTTTTGCCCTGTTTGACACACACTAAAACACCACCAAGGTTTACACCACAAGGTTTAAACTCCTGAGTAGAAAACTTGGGGATGTGAGAGAAGACCACAGTTCTCCCTGGCCTGCCCTGCCCTGGGCTGAGAGCCCAACCAGACAGTACACCTACCAGCTGAACTAAATGCCACTCCTTAATGCCACCTTTAGCAACATGAGACCTAATTGAATATTCTTGGAGTCTTTTTCTTCATCAATATTTCTTCTCTTACCCAATGTCAAGGATGTCCAGACCGTCCTTTACTCCCTCTACGTCCTTGTAGACTTTATGATAAAGTTACAGCATTGCAGTCTTTAAGAGTATGGAACAGAATACAAATGGGTCTATAAATTAGCTCTAGCCATAGGAAAAGGTAACCTTTAGGAAACACTGCCTGAGCATTCAGCTAAGGCACAGTAGTTCTGCATCTCTCCTGAGCATGTCTTCCAGGCTTGTCAACAGAATGCAGATCAACTGTGACACTCAGTAGGAAAGGCTGTTTTACGAGCTCAAGAAGTCTATCATAAATGATAATATTCCCAGCAACATTGGGAAACTCCTCTACTTAGTTGAGAATTATATTGATTTTTCTAATAAGACTGTATGAGTTTCTGGTCACTTTGTCTGTTTGTTCGACTTTTTCCGGTAGAAAACATTGATTTGCTTCTGAACATAGGTCTTTGAGCTCATTTCCCACTGTGATGAAACTCAGAGTCTAAGAATTTATCAAATCAATATTAAGTAAACAAACGCATGCAACCCATTTATAATCGTTGCCAGAATTAATAAAAATATCATAAGGATATTTAATGTGCTTAAATAGTCATCAGTAAAAAAATCGGATTGAGTCCATTTTAATTCCAGATCACAGTGCTGAATGCATAGACAGGATATAAAATTCAGCTTTAAATAAATAAGCATAAGTCCAGAATGGCTGAGAGTTAAAATTAGCATTCCTGTTCTGCATATGGGAAGCTTGGACTTACCTGGAGGAAGCACTTCAGTCTAACCAAAACCCAAGTCAAACCCAATAAAGAGCCCAACTGTTCTTTATCCTATCACCAACTGCTGGCCTTACCTTCCACAATGCATATGGAGAGGCAGCAGAGTCCCAGGAAAGTCAGAAGGAGAAGTCTCATGGCTGAGGTCTTCCTGAGCTCAAGACGAATGTGGGCCAGACTCCCCACCAGCCTCTTTTATTTCCCCCACTGGTCAGCACACTTCCTGTGTTGAGAGGGGGCTTTCGGGGTAGGTGCGGAATCATGGAAAGTCTTTGCAATGATGATGCTTTTTTTTTTTTTTTTTTGTTTAAACACAAGTTCCTTTGCAGTCTTTGTACCAACATGAGACCTTGTGGCCTTTTCCTCTCCCCGTGTGGTTAATGTGTCAGTGAAACTGTGTGCATGAGACAAAAAGTAGTTGTCTCCTTTGCAGCTCTAAGTCACATCTTCCGTCCCAAAGGCCAGTCAGTGTCATGGCTCAGTGTGATAACCAAGCAAAGGAAACGAGGTGATGTGGTCACTGTGGTCCATCCCACCTGCCTCCTGCGACAGATGGCTTCTACAGCCACACATCAGCCCCCACGCACCTGCCCAACAACCCGGGAAAGCAAGAGAGCTCCGCTGCTATTCTGGCTTCTCCTTCCTTTCCAGCTCATTCCTAGCCTCTACCCTTACTCAGTTTACACCCATTTCTTCAAACCACAGAGGGAGGAACCATAGCATTTCTCTACGAATGTTTGCTGTTCGAGGGAAACACACAGATAGTTACACCTAGGCTGCTCTACAATCTTATTAATCAAAATAATGAGAGAATAATCGCATCTCTCAAGGGGCTGGAGAGATGAATCCGTGGTGAAGAGTGCTTGCTGCTTGTTCGGGGATCAGAGTTTCATTCCCAGCACCCAGGTCATGCTCTTCACACCCACTTAGAACTCCAGCTCCAGGGAATCTGATTCCCTCTTCTGACCTACATGAGTGCCTGAACACAGGTGCAGGTAGACTCACACACAGACAAATAAAATGAAAATTCCAGTAGAATTCCTTTATTGGTATTAAAATATTTACACAATTATGACCATTACAATTGCTGTCTTGGCCTTAAATTAAATAGCTTCTCATCTTTCTTCTGATTTCGCTGCTCTACTTTGAGCAAGCACACACACATTAAACACTCTATCCTGTTACTGTGACATAGATATACTGGTAAAGTTATTTTTCAGTAATATAAATCTAGTCTGAGTCCATTAATAATTTGGAAGATAAATACTTGGTGAAACCATATCACTGTTCTTATAGTTCATGTTATCTTTGTATAATCTTCCCAAAATACAGTTCTCATTTGCAGTGTCTCCAGCAGAATATGAAAATATCAGTTATACTAACCTTTCTAGTGCTGCATTCTGGTTTTATTTCTTATTTTATATAGCCATCAATAAAATATGTTTATTGCTAGTGTGTAATAAAAGATTTTCCTAGAAATACAGTAATGAATTTATCTTTTCATGAACATCATAAATTAATCTGTAAGGAATTTTTCATTGATGGCATTTAATCTAGCCAGACTTCACTCTGATCTTTGAGAATATATTTCACACTATTTCCACAACCGTACCATTAAAACTCTGAGCACATCTACCATTCAAACTGCTTCTTCTCCTTCATAGGGACTATTGAGAGCTCTGTTCCAAATTCTGAATACAAGCACTCAGGGGTCATCTTCGACTCACATAAGAAAGTCTCACATGTTGTTAATAGGAACAGTGGTTAGTATGACCATTAGGAAGAACAATCCGGTGGCTCTCAGAAAACATAAAAATGAAACGACTGAGCTAGGTGGTTGGGGCCCACACTTTTAGTCCCAACACTCAGGAGGCTGAGGCAGACACAGGCAGTTCTCTGAGTTTGAAGCCAGCTTGGTCTACAAAGAGAGTTCCAGGACAGCCAAGTCTACACAGAGAAACCCTGTCTCAAAAAAAAAAAAAAAGATAGATAGATAGATAGATAGATAGATAGATAGATAGATAGATAGATAGATAGAT